TTCTTTTAAATGTAATTTAGGTTGGAAGAGCATATATCATTAATACCATAAGTGAATGGAAATCTAAACTGCACTACATTCATGACTATGACATATGGTATGTGCTATCAAATGATTATAGTTTTGTTAACAAATAAAAAGGTATTTTCATAGAATTTAATTTGGCTCCCATTTACACTACAAGTGAGCCAACGTGTTACTTATGTCAGATCAGGTCGTAGGAATGCTCAAACTGTGAACACATGAAACATGAAAAGGCAGGATAATTCTGAACAGCTATGAACTCAAATGGAGCAACATGATGTCCAGAGACTAGCCACAGTAAGACTTACTTGCAGTATCCTTTGCTGCTTTTCTCGATTAGTTGGTGCATGAAATGGCGGGCATCTGTAATCACACCAAGTGAAATTCATCAGGATATAAACAGGAAATCAAACCAGGGGAGAATCACAAGGAAGGTTGATCAAACATACCCAGATAACAGAATATATAGAATTACCCCAACGGACCACATATCACTTGCAGCTGAAACATCTTGCCTTGAGAGAGCTTCTGGCGAAACATAATCTATCGACCCGAACAGAGTCACAATTGGGTCGCTGAAATCTTCGACAGAACTTAGACCAAAATCCATGATTTTCAACGTGGAATCTTCATTCTTGTCAGAGAAGAGGCAGTTCTCTGGCTTCAAGTCCCTGTGTATGATGTTTGCCTGATGAAGAGCCTCCAACCCCTTAGCAATCTGACGAATAACAGCCGCTGCATCGAACTCCGAGTACCGGTCACGCCCCACTATCCTATCAAACAGTTCACCACCAGAGCACAGCTCCAGGATCAGGTGCACGCCATGCGCATCCTCGTACACATCATGCAGGCCTATGACGTTCGGATGCGGCGCGACGTTCTCAACTATCCTCCTCATGACGAGAATCTCGTTGGTGAGCAAGGCGTCAGAGATGGATACCTGCTTCCACATCGGAAGGCCACCCTTTGACCCTTGCTGGATCCCGTTCATGGCCGGGCCAAGCCTTCGCAAGGTCTTTATGGCGACCTGGGTCTTCCCCTCCGATTTGCTCACTCCCCTCCTCACTATCGAGAACCCGCCTCGGCCAAGGACATCCGCAACTTCATAGTCATCGGACAGCTTTCTGCTCTCAGTCTTGGACATTGCCTGGCAAGTTTATGCAAGGAACTGAATACTGGTATCAGATGCTGATTGGGAGACCACAAGAACTGGAAAGCTGGTAGGGAGGCAGCAAACAATCAGGGTGTTTGTACAAGAAAAAACTAGAGCAGTAAGTGCAGGATGAACAGAAAAGAGAGCATGTGTTTTGATGGAACAAGAAGGAAGATTGGGAAACAACAGGGCAGAAACTGGGAGCAGTATAGTAGTTGGTAGTAGAAAGGGACGTACCATATATTGTATAAGTAGCTTGTGTATGATTAACGTAGGAGCAAACTGAGAGAGTATGAGGGCATATAAATAGAGTAATGCGGGGGTGCTGAACATGGTGACGGTAGAAGAAAGTGACATGTGCAACAACCAACAAAATGGAATAAACCCATTAAGGATTTGTTTTGTGCTGATGGCAAGATGACAAGAATTTTAAAAATGGGCGGTTTGAAGTGGAGGACAGGCTACAAAGGTTATTGTTGACCTGGTTGCTACTTTGAATTGGTCTTCACTCGGTGAGGCTAAACAGAGATATAAGCAACCTTTTGTTTGAAGAAACAATCCATGTTTTTATACTTGTATTAAAGATTAAAGAATTGATGAAGCAGCACCAGCATACCTGACGAGGAAGAAATCAACAAGCACAAACTCTGCGTCAAGCACCAGCAGGTCGTCGTCAAGGTTGGCTTCTGCCGAGCCGGTGGGAGAGCAGCAGGTCGTCGTCAAGGTTCGCTTCTGCCGAGCTGCCGGTGGGAGAGCTGGCGTAACGCAGGAAGGAAATGCAAAGCAAGTGATGGAGCTTTGCAGGACCTCAGACAAACGAGGAAGGAGAACGAAGAGAATGGGAGAGGGACTACCTCGGTTTGTGTCTCCTCTCTTCTCAGGTTTGTTTCAGGGTGTCTGCCTCAGTAGTTATATACTATGTAGAGACACACACAGAGGTCGCTCTCAATGTCCCAGAATTGATTTTAAATTACACAAACCAGGACGCGGTATATACACCATTACAAATCAATCATTCCATTCAGCTCACATGCATACACAACTGTTTGTACATTGCTTCAGCCTCGCGTCATTACAACCCAGTTCAGGTTTCTTACAAGTCACAATGGAACTGTGGCCTCAAGTTACAAGCATACAAGTAACCACGAGAAAAAGGAAACAACAGCAGGGGCACTCGCTTCTAGTTGAGCGGTTAGCTTGAACGCCAGAAGATTGCTGCTGTGTAAGGTTTTAGTCCGGCAAGGCAGTACCTCTTTCGAGGTTGTTCTTGATCTCGAGCGTGTACTTGCCAAAGGCACGCTCAATCTTCTTGTTGAAGTGCTCATTACGGTCGTTGATCGAGTCAATGTCCTTGTCTTCGCTTGAACTTGCGCCTCCTGCTGAACGATTTCCGCTTCTCTTCCGCTCCTTGAGTTCCTTGACCATTTTGTCAATGTTTTCTTCTGGGACATTGGACACCTGTGCAAGGCAAAACACAAAGCAGCCAGTTGAGGACTTGTTTCCAGAAGGACATTCAAGGATTTGTTGATGTGATGTGATGGCACGATGGCAGCAGTACCTTCCCATACTGGAGACTTGAGGCATCACGGTAGAATTCAGGATCAGCTTCCTTGGCTTTATTGTAAACCTCCATGTCAACTTCTATATTCTTGGTCCTCTTCTTGTATGCATCATACAAGGTCTTTTGATTGAAAACTGAAAGCATAAGCACAATTTCTCAGATGCAACTCAAAGACCCAAACAAATAAAGGTGCATCTAGACTTCAAGATGTATGGCATGCTATGCACATGGAAAAAATGGAACAGTGCTTACTCATAACATCTGGTTTGAAAAGACATAGAAGAGATTCCTATGGAAACAAGTGTATAATTTAACAACGTTTGTTTCAAAAAATAATTTAACAACGTTGCTGCTAGTATCGAAAAGGCCTGAACCGTGACTAGGGGCTCATGTTGGGCTTCAACTCTAGCCTACCCCAACTTGCTTGGGACTAAAAGGCTTTGTTGTTGTTTGTTTGTTGTTGTTGTTTGTTTGTTTGCTGCTAGTATTAAAAACCTATATTATTATGTAGCAAGACATGTTTGCAATCTATACATAGCAGCAACATAATAACAAGCATTTCTACCTATTGTATATAACACAGAGATATCTCCCCATACATCATAACCTAGCTTACTTTTCTGGTTTATACTACACATATGCAGGATGGACTGAGATAGTTATTCAATAAGCTTTGCCAAGAAAGTACTATACTACTATACTAACCCTATAATAATAAAGTTATGTTCCACAGGATTTACTTCTTTCTCTTTGGAATTGGAAGTTTGGATATGTTCTTATAACATGAATAACAGAGAAAGTACTATAACACTTAGTCTAATGTTGTCATAAACCAAGTAACCAACCATGAATAACATTGCATCCTGAATCCTAAATGAATGGAGAAGAAACTCATCAAAGACTAAGCAACACACAACAGAGAAGCCATCCAGTAAACATCACCAATGTATGCATTTTTCTGCTATCTCAACAAAACAATGTTCTCTACAAATCAGACATCTGTGGACGGTAGAGGATTGAACTCACTCACCATCCCACCCATAAGGAGCCGGTTCCTTCTCCCATTTCTTGTACTTGGCTTCTGCTGTCTCCTGCGTATCGAGCATGTACGCCTTCGACATATCAAGCCCATTGGAGTCCAGCAGCTTCCCAATCTTCTTCTTCCTGTCGTCTAGCCACTTCTGCTTAGAAACACCTCGGCTCTCACCACGAGGCTCCATCCTTTTCTTCTCGGCAATCATTGCCTGCTGATTCGCTTTCCGCGCTTCATTCTGTGGAACATCAGACATCAACAAAACGAATGAATCAAGGGAAAATTGGTTGTGTAGCATGGAAAGATCGCGATCTCCGTAAAATACCACCGAAAATTTACACCCCCGTAAAATACCACTGAAAGGTTGGACCATGAACTGAAAGTGGCACCCTGTTAAAATGAAGTGACGGAGCTGTTATCTGGGACACAAATACCCCCGACCGGTGATCGCGTATGCGACGTTTGCGGTGACCGGGCACGGTAGGGCTGGAGCTCGCCCACGCGTCGTCCGCGCCGGGGTAGAAGCAGCAGCCGAGCTGGTCCACCTGAGGCTGCCACAGGAGAAGGAGGACGCGCGCCTGCGGCGCCTGGCCAGGGAGAACGGCACCGAGGACGCCGCGGCGCTCCCGGAGGAGATCAGCGACACGCTGGCCGAGCTGCGTGGCGCCGGCGGTCGAAGCGCCTCTTGGTCGCGACCCTTGAGCTGGCTCCCGCGCCAGCGTGGCGGTGCACGCGACGCTCGGTGCCGTGGCCACCGCCGACGTCGCGCTCGCCGCCTACCTCTATGCACGCCGCGCCAACGAGCCCACGGTGGCCGGCGGAGGCAGCGCGAGATGCCCACGGTGGCCAGCGGAGGCCGCACGCTGACACCTGCGGCGGCCGGCGTTAGGGGCGAGCGAGCGGCAGACCCGAGCATACCGCGTGCGTGCTTTCTGTCTCGGTCTCGGATGAGTGAGATAGGATAAGGTAAGGGCAAATAGGTAATTTCATGTTTGGGTTTAAGGTCAGGTTAACGTTTCTATACATAAAAGCTGATGGAATGCTACTTCTAGTTCACGGTGCAACTTTTCGGTGGTATTTTACGGGGCGCAAACTTTTAGTGGTATTATATGGAGATCGCGATCTTTCGATGCTACACAACCAATTTTCCCATGAATCAATATACCAAACAGTGTGGCAACAGCCCCGACAGTTGGTATATGAGACGTGAAATCAGCAATTCGCCATACCATCTTAAGCCGCAGCTCGAACAGCTTCTTCTGCTTTTCCGTCATTTGCGGGTAACCATCATCCGCGCCTGCGCCCTCCTGTTCGTCGGCATCGTTATCTTCAGCTCTCTGCTGCTCCACGGCATCGGACGTGCGGGCAGCGGTGGCCACATCAGCTGGTGGCTGTCCCTCCCCACGCTCGAGTCCTAACGAGAAGTCAACCAAACACACGGTAAGCAGACATCAACACTCAGATTTTTTTTAAGCAATAAATAGATAGAAGGGGTTCACGACGAATCGAATTAACGGGAAAGGAATCACCCGCACGCACCGGATTTGGCGTCGGCGATGCGCCTGAAGCAGTAGTCGGAGCACTCGTGGTAAGGGTTGGAGGCGTTGATGCAGTCCGGGTGGACGGTGCGTTGCTCGGGCGGGCGCTTCCACGAGTCGGAGAGCTCGTCGTCGAGGCGCTGCCTGGCCTCGGCGATCTTGCGGAGGCAGTAGTCGGAGCACTCGTGGTACGGGTTGGACGAGTTGATGCACTCCGGCCGCGATTTACTCCCCTCCGCCGCCGGCCCCGCCACCACGCCTTCCCTCCCCATCGACGAGCACGGATCCGGAAGGACGGAACCCTAGGTTAGCGTCGGATCGATTCCGTCTGGGATGTTGGCTCGCTCTGGCTGGGATTGGGGAAGGGGAGACGAAGACGACAGCCGACGGGGCGGCGGCGAGTCCGTCTAGGGATGAAAGTGGCGCGGGCCTGCCTGCGCGCCCACTCGGCCCGCTCCGCAAAAACAGTGTTGGTGGGCTCAAGTGGCAGCCTCCAATCAAAAACAGCGTTGGTGGGCTCAAGGCCCACTGGACACTAGCAGAGGCCCGCTTCTGTCCACCAAAACCGGCAGTCGCCCGCAGTGCTCGCGCCTCGCTCACATCACCAACATCCGCGACGCTGCAGCGGAACGCCTCGCCGCCTCCGGCGACAACTGGCGACAGGCTCCGCCGACGGACCTGCTCCTCGCTTCCTTCTTTGCAACCTCGGCTGCAGCTCCGTCGACGAATCCACCGGCTGCCTCAACACCTCCTCCGACGCCAAACCCTAATCTGGGTTGGCGGGTCCGACACTCCAGCACCGTCGCCTACTATAGGTACTCTCCGTCCAATCCCCATCCCATTTTGTGAATCAAGTTCGCTATGACAAATTTAGGACTTTGAGATCGAGCTTCTTGATTCTTGTTGTGTTAGATTAAAGAAAGGAAGCGATTGCTTTGCACTCTAAATAAAACAGATATCCTGGGTAGACGACCCTTAGAGATGAAATCATATTTAGCTTCTGAGGCCCATCAGATATCTTCATTTTCGTATGTCATACTTTAGATACCGTAGCCAAGTCCATAAATGGAACTGGGATATCCTGAAGACATCTTCGTTACTGTTCAAAAATTTACCAAGGTTGTGTGCACATGGTGCTGTATAAGTAAAGACGTAAAGTATTACTTGTAGTTTTTGAACTGTAGTTATTTCCCCATCTGTGTGAGCTCCACGCATTTCCTAATGTTTCATCAATCAGCCTGTAGGATGGATCAGCACTCCTGTTACTTACGTTTCACTGACAAGGTCATTAATGCATCCAGCGGTATTTTATTATTTCTTCATGGTTGGCAAGTTCACCGAGAAGGTCATTAGTGTATCCCTGAGTTTGTAACCTTATATTAAGATTGAGATTATGAGTGTTTGGAATAATTTTGCACTCCTAGCACAAAGCATACAGAACAGCATAAGCCTATATAGATCTTGACCCCTTCAGAAATAATTTTGCACTCCTAGCACAAAACAAACAGAACAACATAAGCTTATATAGATCTGGACTCCTTCAGAAATAATTTTGCAATCCTTCAGTTGGTGTCTCTGCTTCATTTCTTATTTGGTTTGTTTATTTTTTCTGTACTTGAATCACTGCAGAGAGTTCAGGAATTCTGTGCCTAGATTCTAAAATCTGAATAAACAAGCTGAATATGTTCACTGCAATGCAAACATATAAGTAGTCAGCTGCCACCTATTTCCATGCACCGCCTGGCTCGACACCGCCAAGGTCCAAGTCACTGTGCTGCACTGCTGCATCACCTGCCCTTCTCGTGATATCTGATTACTGCTTTGCTAGTGCTAGCTACCAATGTTGTTCAGAGATTAGTAGTTTGCCATTTGGTCCTCTTAATAGGTTTGGTTTATTTATTTGTTTACATCAGATGGATATATGCTCATACGATTTAAGGATCCACTGTGAGCAGCTTACACATTTGTCTTTCTCCATGGTTTTCCTTTTTTTAGTGTTCATCTATTAATAAGTTTGGAGACTGGATTATTTTTCGTTGGGATAAACTTTGTACCGGACCAGAGCATCTTATCTCTGCATACGAATGCCTTAAAGGGATATCCAATAAACAAATTTTGAACACCTTTGGTTTGTCAGATAGGTACAAAGCAAATGCTTGAGCAGGTTTGGTCAGTTTCACTAGGAACTGTTCACTACTTGACTGGCTCAGTAATACAAGTGAATAGCTTGCAACTCATTTAGCCGTTACTTTCTTTGACATAGTTTCTTTAGCTGAATTATTTTGCACATATTCAATGGATGTGCACTACCCATGTTGTTCAATATCCCACATTAATATCGAACTGAGTGTGATGACTGATGACAACTACCAGTCATTGTTTCTTGATTTGGCAACAGCTTGGCCTCTGTCAGCCATTCCCATTTTGCCCCTACCCTTGATGTGTAGTGTCATTTTCTCATGCATACCTTCTAGATGATTGACTTTTTACATTACTGCCTTCCCCAGTCCCCGCCCCCACCCCCAAATTCTTTTCTATCTTGGAAAATGGGATTTGGACAATAAGATGTTGCTTCGGTTACTTACATTTCTTAAAAGTATTGACTGGTCTTTCATCTGGATGCAGGAGCTCTGCAGTAAAGGAAGTGTATAGTTGCCATGGTTCATTTCAAGAATAGGTACATGGTGGTGGAGGTCTTTATAGATGCAGCTAGAGGTGAACAGGACCTTGTAATCCTCACCCAATTTAATATAACAAAAGTTATAAGAGACAGCATTCAGCTCAACTTTGGGGAGTGTGGCCTAGCTGGATCTCTTGGATCATTGCAAGGTACTACTAGCAATTACTTCTGAAACCTTTTAAATCTTATATCAGTGTTTGCTGCACTGTGTTTATTACTGGCTTCTTAATATAAAAGTACTTATAAGCTCTGCAAATTTTCAGTTAAGTATGTTAATCCTGTAACAAAGCTCTGCATTGTTCGTGTGTCACGTGAAGACCACCAGAAAGTTTGGGCTGCTATGGCAATGGTGAGGTGCATTGGGAAGATCCCTGTTTCATTCAACTTGCTCGACATGAGTGGTAAGTGGCTCAGACTCTGGCTGACGATACAAAACAATCATGTTGCATTGCCTTTTTACTTGGTTGTTTTCCAACAGACTGGCACTTGATTTGGTGCACTCTGAACCTTCCAAAAATAATTTATTTCTGTAGTTGATTTTGTCTTCTAACTTAGAGTAGTAATTTGACGGTAGGATTTTGATTTAGAAAGGATTCAATATGCCCATCTCACATCACTGTCAAGGTTCACAAGTTTGAATAATCTTCATGTGGGCTGTTTTGCTGTTTCATTTGAGTAATTTCTAAACTTTCGGTGCAACATTTTTGCCATCTCTGATGAAGGAACATAGGAGCTACAGCTATAGAAAGCTATAGGTTTGTCAAATTCATTCTGTTTTCCTCATATATTGTTAACCTTTTTGGAACCACATTTCTCCTTCAGAACTCAAAATATAATGTACTCTCTCAGTTTTGTTAGTTATTTTCCTGCTTAAAGTATTGCCACGTGAAAATTAGGATGGCCAGCTTCATAGTAAAACTATGTATCTATGCATGCATCTAGATATATGCTATGTCTAAAACAGAGGGAGTAGCACTATTGCCGTGTTTGTAATACTACCTCCGCCCCCAAAAGAATGCAATTCTAGCATAATGTCATGTTTTAGTACCTTAAGTTTGACCAATTATAGATAAAAAAAAGTATCCATGTTTATGGTATCAAATAAATACCATCAGATTAATTACGAAATGTATTTTCATAATAAATTAATTTAAAGTCATAACTGTGAATATTATTCACTAAAAATTTGGTCAAACGTGAACCACTTTTCGTGGCACGCAACCTATACTTGCATTCTTTTCAGGACGGAGGTAGGACTAATTTGTAGTCCTTAAGAAAAGGGTCACTCTTCTTTTTATTGCCGAACTGCCACAGTTTAGCTCATCAATCATCATTGCATTCATTTTTTCCAGGAAGCACCAGGGCTTGCAAGAAAGCTGCACTGGAGTGTGATGAAGCGAAATTTGAACAATACAAGGTGGCTACTGGTGATCGTATCACGGCAGATATCATCCAGTCCGTAGAGAGCTGCTTTGAGAAGATTAGAGTACTAGAGAGCTAGCAAAAAAATTCTATCCCCTCCTGCTTTTGTTTCGTTATCTCTGTCCCTGAATGAAATGAAAGGATGAAACGGCACATTCAGCCATCTAGCATTGAGCGCGCACCTTGTATGGTCTGAAGAGGGAGGAACTTGTATATATGCATGGCTGATGTTTGATATTCAATTGGTCCCTAAATGAAGGGAAAGGAGGTGTTTCATTCTTTTGTCTCGTATTTTGTTTCCAATATACTAGAGGTGTTTCATTTCTTTTACTAGTTTATTAGTTTAATCATGGAAGGCTATATAAAACAGCCCCCCCCCCCCGTTTCAACTTACGGGAGATGGTGTAAAGGACGCCATGCTCATGTTCATTTATGTATGTCATTGTACATGAACATCTCTCACATCCACCACAAGCCAAACCTAGGTGGCCAGTTTCGATGACTTTGGCCGGGCGGCAAGCTCCGGCCTCCTTGTATGCCCCTCGCAAGGCCTCGACTAATTTGTTCATGCATCATAACCACATTGCATAATTCGTGGTTATGAGCAAACCGTTATCACACATATTGTAAATTTTATACATGATATTAAAGAACAAAACAAAATTCTCCCGTCTCTCACTCTCTCATTTGCCCATCGTCCTGTCAATTTTCTTAAAGTCGCGACAAGCGTGCACATATTTAAGTTGAGTCAATCTCCTCTTAATTTTCTATAATGGAATTAATCATTAATCGCATTAACCTTTATTGTGGGTCTTGAAATTTATTTGATGTAAGGTTTGGTCATGCCCAATTAAATCCAACATAAATAGCTATCTCATTGTCATTAGCACGAGACAATAATTTAATATTGGAATAAAACACTTGTTACAACAATTAATAAATGAGAAGAATTGGACATTAGTTCATGAGGAATTTCTCTACGAATATGGACAAAGGAAGGAAAGGACGGTGTATTAGTACATATCATTTGTCATATTCTTCTTTCCTCGGGAAGGGTATACTTATAAAAGGGAATAAAAGAATAAAGAGTTCTCGATAGCCATTTCCTTAGCATGTGAATGGCAAGAAACTCTAGATTGGAATCCGAATAAAGTATCACTTGATCATTTCCACCAATTTCAAGTCCTAATTTTTTTAATGAGAAGAAGGTCTAATGACTTAGATTCTCTCGTTACTAACCATATAGTTTATATTTTTAGTGTTCCAATAAATTATACATCATATGTTGCAACACACGAACATGTCTATTGCCCTGTTGTCTTTTCTTCCTTGTCATACCACGGAGACTCCAGTTGTCGGTGTTTCGGACCGGGGGGTCCTCAACTAACCAGTGAATTTGTTCTGCGTGCTCTCGATCCGGATGGTGATGCAAAGAGACACAAGGTTTATACTGGTTCAGGCAATCGAGGCCCTACGTCCAGTCTGAGAGATCGATCTTGTATTTCTTGCACCGAGGTGCTCGTAGTAGGGGGTTACAAGCTAAAGGAGAGAAGGAGCTAGTCCTAGGTCTCGGTAGGGTGTCGTGCGAGCCGCTTGAGACGTTGCTCTCAGGCGGCAGGAGTGTGCGTGTGTGTGTCACAAGATGTCCTCCCCCTTAAAACAGCCCAGGTCCTCTCCTTTTATAGCATGAAGGGAGGACTAGGGCGGTACATGAGCTAACTATATGGCGTCGTGTGAACAGAGGCGGCGCGTCCGGGCCCTGTAGCCTGTTCCTGTGGCGGTGTGGCCGTCGGAGTGGTCCGTCCTTGGAGCACTGGGGCGGCGTGGTCGTCCCATCAGATCATGTGCGTTGTGGGAGCCCCGAGAATGCCTCGGAGTGGACGCGGCGGCAAACGTGCAAGCCACTGTGGACGGACTGTGCGTGAGGCCGAGACTTGGTTGATGCCGAGGCTGCACTGCGGTGGGGGGGGTCTCGGTAGGCACGAACCCCAAGATCGCCGAGGCCCCGGTGTACAGTGCCGAGGCCTTGAGCGGGCGGCCGATCATGGGTACAGCGTTTGGACACAGTGGTCGGTAATCCCCGTTGTACCCTGTCCCAGCCGGTATGGCGCTGATCGTGGACACAGTGGTAGGACACAGTGGCCGGTAATCCCCGTCGTGCCCTGTTCCGGCCGGTATGGCACTGATCGTGGGCATAGTGGTAGGACACAGTGGCCGGTAATCCCCGTCGTGCTCTGTCCCAGCCGGTATGGCGCTGATGCGACCTCGGGTTGCGTCGGCCATCCTATGGCGTTGAGCCACCGTCCGGCTGAGATTGCGGGAGTGGTTGAAGCATTAATGAGACATGACGAGTTGTCGGGAGGGTCGGCCGAGGCGGGGGGCGACGGACCGCGGACGAACCGGCCTCGAGCGACACGGAGAATGAGGCCTCGCGCGAGACGGAGATCAGTTTCCTTGACGAGGCCTCGCGTGAGACGCCTCGCGCGATACGGAGAATGTACCCCTGCCGAGGCCTTTCCTGGAGAGCCTCGGGCGAGACGGAGACGGCGCCCCCTGCCGAGGCCTACCTTGGGGAGCCTCGCGCGAGGCGGAGTTTGTTTCGAGACCTCCTGCTCGAGGTTCGAGGCGAGGTGGAGGAGGGCTCGGTCGTGGCGGTGAGGGGCCCACGGCTTACCTTCTAGCTTTATTTTGATGTTTGCTTGGGGTACCCGTTCTCTAAGGTACCCGACAAGTAGCCCCGAGCCTCGGGGTGAGTGCGTGCACTCTCCACGAGGGTTCGTCGAGGCTGGGTCTATGCCTCTCTCCGTAGGAATTGGTTTGTTTTCGAGGTTCCGGTGGGTGCGCATGAGCGCCCCACCGGGTGTAGTTTCAGCCCCAGGAGGAGTGAAGTTACTCCTCCAGGGGCTTTCTCCATTTTCGCGTTTGAGTGATCAGTTCTTATTGCATTTGCCGAGCCCATAAGCGCAAGTTCGGGTCGCGGGGGTCTCGGCGAGGTTGCAAAAAAAAGGCCCTCTAGCCTCCGTACGGAGCGAGAGGTTCGTCAGGGGTCCCCCTGACGTTGGGTATGTCCCTCACGCTTCCTTTCGTTCGGAAGGAGGGTGGAATGTGTCATGCTACCCTCGATGGGCGCGAGCGTGACACTTTCGGTGAGTCATTATCGGGTAGTCCGAGGAGGCCCGAGCCCCGCTCGCTAGGGGACGGCTAGCGGTCCGAGACGCACTCCAAAAGTACCGGAGGATTTCTCTAGTGGGTGCCGAGGCCGTTCGCTGGGCCTCGGTGGCTCGGTGCCTCCCTACGGTGGGATCCCATTCGGATACTTTCCTGTCGGTCTCGGACATGACTTAGGACTCCCCGAGCGACTGTTCATTCGGGCCTGGGCCATTCGTAGGCTCGCCCCGAAGTCGTCCCCGACTCTGTTGCCTGGGGGCAGTGTGCCGAAACCTCTTGGAGGCCCACCCTTGAACCTGGACTGTAACAGCTCTCTATGCCCTTTATCGTGTTTTTGTCTTGGTTTTTGGGTGCGAGAGGAGCCCCCAGAGCCTCCGCTTTGGAGCAAGAGGGACGGTCGGGGTCTCCTGACTTTTCATTCGCCCCTCACATATCCTTTTCGTTTGACGGAGGGTTCGCTTGCCGAGCCCATTCTCGTCTCGGCAAGGTCGCAGGAAGAGCCCCTAGCCTCTACGCAGAGCGAGAGGGCCGTCGAGAGTTCCCCTGACTTTTTATACGCCCCTCGCGAGTGAGGGTTTGTTTGCCGAGCCCATTCTAGTCTCGGCAAGGTCGCAGGAAGAGCCCCTAGCCTCTACGCAGAGCGAGAGGGCCGTCGGGAGTTCCCCTGACTTTTTATACGCCCCTCGCGCGTGAGGGTTTGTTTGCTGAGGCCCCTTTGGGCACGAGCCGGGGTCATGGGGTCTCGGCATATTTGCAGGAGGAGCCCCCTAGCCTCTGCATAGGGCGAGAAGGCCGTCAGGGGTTCCCCTGACTTTTTATGTGACCCTCGCGCTTCCTTTTCGCTCGGAAGGAGGGGTGGAATGTGCCTCGCTACCCTCGATGGGCACGAGCGGTGGCACTTCCGGTGAGTCACATATCGGGTAGTCCGAGTGGAGGCCCGAACCCCTGTTCGTTAGGGGACGGCTAGCGGTCCGAGACACACTCCAAGAGTACCAGAGGATTTCTCTAGTGGGTGCCAAGGCCGTTCGCTGGGCCTCGGTGGCTCGGTGCCTCCCTACGGTGGGATCCCATTCGGATACTTTCCTGCCGGTCTCGGACATGACTTTGGGCGTCCCAAGCGTTTCGCTCGCTTGGGTCTCGGCCCCGAATAGGCTCGCCCGTAGTCGCCCCTGACTCTGTTATCCTAGGGCAGCTGTCGAAACCCTTTTGGGGTCCAGCCTTCGAACCCCTGGATCGTAATAGGCTCAGAGCCCGGTTCCTTCCTATAAAAGGAACAGGCCGCGGGAAATATCTTCCCTATTGGCTCGGCCGCGAGTGGCGCGCCTTTTGAGGCAGTTTTATTGGGAGTCGAAACGGTACCTGCTGCCGTAATGGCCGAGCGTGGCGTGGTGGATGGGATGTAACCGTCCTCGCATTTAATGCGGGAGACATGGGCGCGTGGGCCGGTGAAATCAGCTCATGGTTAACCGCGCCAGATTGGGGGGAAATCTTCCCGATTCCATCGCCCGCCCGTTTCGCCTCCTCCCTGCATAAATACCCGGGGAGTTTTGCCCCTCCTCGTCTTACCTTGCCTGCATTAGCGCCGCCCCCACCGAGCCGTCGCTAGAGCAGCGAGTGCCGAGAAGGAGAGGAGGAAGAGCGAGCCTAGGGAGGAAGCGAGAAAAAAGTGAAAGCGTGGGAGGGAGAGAAAAGACTCACCGCCGCACCTGACTCCCCCAGCGCACCCATGGCCGGTGATATCGTTGTCGTCGAGGCGGACCCCTGGGATCCGTCGGACGTCACCGAGGAGATGCTCCAGTCGCTTGTCGACGGTGGGCTCCTCCGCCCGGTGACTGACTCCGCCAGGCCAGAATGGATTGCTCCGTATGGCGAGCCGGAGCCGAGGCCTCGCGATGGCTACGTCGTAAGCTT